GCATTCTACTTAGACTCAAGAATAGACTATTTTGTTTTCTCCATGGCACCAAATCTTATTTTGCAACGTTTGCATCTTCCCCTAATTCTCCTCTACCTCATGCAGAATGTTAGCGATTTCCATAAAAGATCTAGGCTCAGGGACATTGCACCTGAAGCATTCGTCCGCTCTACTGACTCACAAGCACTCTGACTCACTGCTCTGTGCCTGCTGGGCCTCTCTCACTCTTATGAGGTGCTGGTGTCTGTGGCTGTGTTTCAAGGCTATTTCTGCTCCAGTGACAGTGAGTGTTTATTAAGGATGTGCTAGCTTCTCCATGCTGGGCCAGAAGGCCTGGAGTCTGCTGGGCTTTTATTGTTGCTCTGTGAGTTCTAACTCAGAAAGGCAACAGAGCTTTTCCCACCCTGTTACTAGAGGCTACCCTCTACCCTCCGTCTGCCAACACTTCTCTCTCACACCTAGCGTGGGTGTGCTCTTGGTCCATCCAGCTGGAGAATCCATGAGAATTTCAGGCTCCTACTGTCTGTGATGAAACCCAAGCCTGGGCTTCTGTGGCATCTGAGGATCTTGGCTCCTTCGCCACAATCAACGGGAAGGACAAGCCTTTCCCATTTCTCCACTCCCAGTGCAATGAAGTGTCTTTGATTGGCCGAAAAAGTCCTCCGGCTTCACCAAGTCCATTTCCCTCCTGGCCACACTCAATTCCATGCACATCTCAGACACTGCCACCTCTCCGCTACCGGCTACTGTACTCTAGGATCCTGACTCACACCTTGTTCTATCCCTAGGCTGCAGTGCTGTTGGGAAAACACACACGCACAAACCAATATGCACGCACAACACAACACAGACCAGTGTTTTCTGACTCTAAGTCATCCAGGGTGGATACCCCAAATACCTTTCCTTACAATACTCCTTTCTCACTTGTACTTAACTCCTCTTGGTATGTGGGTTTGCGTCAATAAATGGATCACCTACTATGTGCTGAATCCTTAGGGGCTGAGCCTACCGTGAACATGCTATGGCCTCTGCTCCCAGCGAACTGACAATCTTGAAAAATGGGTGAGGAGTAGACTTAGCTGAAATAATCATAAACCATACTGTGATTGCTGCCATATGCAAGCTGTATAAATCATTTTGAACGGGGCTAAAGAGAACTGAAAGAGATGTAAATAACTCGATATGAAGAGTATGGAAAAGGAGAATGGAGGGTAACTCCAGGGTCCGACTTGGCTGTCCAAGTTGACATTTCCTGAGTTAGGCATATGAGGAAGGAAGAAGCTTGCTTTGAAGAGGAAGGAAAGGAGGAGGAAATCTTTTGTATCCACATGCTGAGGTTGATACCCCTAAAAACTACCATAGCTACTCAATCCTGGTATCAAGTAAGAAAAAAACAAATGAAAGGACAACTCACAAAACAATTCTTTTAAAAGTAGGCAGAGGATATGACATGGATTGAGAAAGAAGAGCCAGGGCAATGGGAACAAAATAAGGTGACTCTTTACGCCTCCCAAATCTATTTGCAATTGTGTGCTCTGCCTCATTTCTAACGCCTTGCTCAACTTTTCTAATTTATATTGTTCCAATATCTCAAGTTCAATATTTTTACCAAAAGAAAAGCTTTTACTTCCGATTTCCCTGTTCCTGCTAACATGATGAACAGAAAGCTTCCTGCACAGATAAAACTGGATCCCAACTCTCCCCCAACAGCATGTGTGGTCACCCACTCTGCTCACCCTCTCAGAACCAGCTGAGCCCCCCCCCCCAAGAAGCCTTGTCTCTGGTTTCAAGTGGGAGTTAGTGACTCTCTTCCTTTTCACACATACTGCACATACTGTTTCTTTGGTGTAGGAACACTTACTTATCTTTGCATTCCCAGTAAAATGCAAGTTAAATGTTTCTAGAACCAGGATAAGCTAAATGTAGAATAAGTAATCAAAAGCAAACAAAAACCAGATTCCTTCTTTTTTGTACTTTCTCACATTACCTGGAGGTATTTCACATTATCTTCTGTGCCTTTATTTATTTACTTATTTTTGCAGTGCTAGGCAAGTGCTCTTCCCCCGAGCTACACTCCTAATTCTGTATCCCTTAAGGAACCAATGTTCTGTGAATAAGCCTCTTGATCACAAGAACCTTGTTCTATATAATGGCTTCTACAATTTAGTTATAAGGCATTTCAATAGGATAGCAGCCAGATTTAGCTCTGACTTCTCAAATACTAATTCTTATCATATACTCATTGGGATTTTCACTGGAATTAAATGGTCAGCTATTATGAGAACTCCAGCCAACAAAATGTCAGTGTATAGCTGGGCATGGTGGTATATCCCAGCACTAGGGAGGCTGAAGCAGGAGGATTGTCAAGAGTTCAAGGCCAGCATGAGCTACTTAATGAGCTCAAGGCTAGCTTGGAACACATAGTGAGACCATCTCAAAAAAAATTTATAGAAAGATCTTTGATGCTAGGATATGTTAGAAGTAAGATGGCAGTTAATTTTTTAGTCTTTTTTTTTTTTTGGTACCAGGAATCGAACTTGGGACCTTGTGCCTATGAGGCAGGCAGTGGAATCACTGAGCTAAATCCCCGGCCCCAATTTTCATAGTCTTTATAAAACTTTTTAAAAACCTTTTTTTTAAAAAGTTTTGTTTAGATAATATTGAGTTTATTCTAATGAGCTAAGTACTTGAAGATTATTCTCACTCTCATGTAGGGAGTAAAGCATTATGGAATATATTAACTCATATTTTGAATATATCTAGATGTTAAAGCTAATTATTTGTAAAAAATATGCTTTGAACTAATGCATTACAAGCATCTTAGGAAGTGTTTACCATAATGTTCAAGTAAGTTCTGTTCCTCTAAGATAAAATTTTCACATCGTAGCAACTTCAATTTATTTTGTATCAATCTTTAGTGCTTCATTGGTAAAGGCCATATTTGGTTTGGGGCACATAGATTTATGAAATAGATTTACTTCCATCCTAGCATAAAGAACCCTAGGGCTAGAGCGCTATTTATTAATCACCTGATTCTCAACAAGTCCCTTCAACTTATTGAGTCATAAGGTTCAGAATTTTTAAAGATGAACTAATCCAAGGATGACAAGATGCTATGGTGCTAAGCAGTACACACGTCGGCACGTTCTCTCCATGCTTGGGAGTAAATGTTGTGCAGAAGGAGTACTAACTTGAAACTGCCTCTGACAGCTTTTAGGGGATGTTGAATAATCTAACAGAAATAAAATTTGTATTAGCTATTTCTCACTCTGGAAGCTACAATTATTTTCATTGCCAAACAGAACCCATAATCTTGTTAACGAGGCCTAAAAACTTGCCGAAAGGACTCAACTGCCAAGAGCACTAATTTTAGTTGGGAATGATATATAGCTTCCGGGGGTGGTTTGTGAACATGTTCCGGTAAAGCCCAGCGTGAGGGGGGAATGGGAATTATCACCAAGCTCTGGTACCACCCACAGCTAGCTCAAGAGAGAGGAGTACAGACTGAGACACACTTTCCCCTCCAGACTCAGGGTGCAGAGCACCGTTCTAGGCCCCGGAAGCAGCATGGTAAGCTAGGCAGAAACTCTTCTTAGTTACTCAACTACTTCACCATCCACCATTTTTTTAAAAGTCGCATAATCCCAGGACTCTCAGAGGCTGAGGCAGGAGAATCTCAAATTCAAGCCCAGGCTCAGCAATTTAGTGAGCCCCTGTCCCAACATTAAAAAACAAAACAACAACAACAAAAAACGCTAGGAATGTAGTTTAGAGAGAAGGTCCTGGGTTCAATCCCCAGTACCCAGAAGGAAAAAGAACAAAAGTCAGAAGCTAGCAGTAGCTAAACTAAACAAACACAGGAGAATGAGTTTCTCAGCTCAAAGGTGGGGGCGGGAGCTGGGGAAGAAAGGCACTCCTGAGAGCGCAATTGCGCTGGATTTTAAAAACCGGCAAAACTGGAATCCGGGCTTGGAAGGTGGGAGACAGTGGGGGAGGACAGGCACTTCTGACTGCAGCTCAAACTGCTCTTTCTGCCGCCAAACCGATCCTTCTAGCCTCCCATCGACCCTCGATGCTTACCTAGGATCTTCTGCTACTTCATTACCAGTCGCTAACCGTCTTTTAAGAAGTTTCCTAAACTGGTAGTGATTCCGGGACTTGGATGTGCACAGTCAACCTCTGCTGTCCAAGTAGAGTTCGATTTAGCATTCTGCCTTTGCCATAATACTGTTAGAATTTTAACAGCTCTCGTCTACTGAACCTTCTTTAAGTGCTAGGCATGCAGATACCTCACAGATTTTCTGATTTAATTCGCACAGTAGCGCGATGTGTTGGCCTCCAAAAATCCCGCTTCACAGATCTGGAAAATGAGCCTTGGAGTGGCTTGTCCAGGCTACTCCTCTTGGAGAGGATTCGATCCTGACAAGGTGCGATGTGTGCGAGCGAAGCTGTACTCTATAGCATAACAGTATGTATTTCCCCCTAACACGCTGGGCTGTTTTCTCCTAGCAGTGTCCAGCCTTTAAAGGGTCCAAGAACTGTCCGTTTTGACCTCCTGTGAGTCTGCTAACAACTGTTTGCCCCCGAGCCAGACGAGCTGCAAACTCGCTGGAGGCAAAGCCCGGGCCAGGGCGAGGTGAGCGGGCTCCGCGGGGACGGCACTCCGCAGTCCGGCTCCCGCCCCGCACGCGCCCCAGACGTTTCCGGCGCCACCTGCGCTCCGGGCCCCACGCAGGTTCCGGGCACCGGGCCTCTCCGCGGTAGCGGGCTGCGATCTGCGCCCGGACTATGGCCCGCGGGAGCTGAGGCTCCGAGCCCGGGCCCTTCTCGGGGAGGAGGAGGGCAGAGCCGAGCCGAGGCCGGCGGGGCGGGGCGGGGCTGGGCGGTCTCTCCACCCAGCGTCCCTGTCCCCGCGTCACTGTCCCAGGTGCGCGTGCGGCCCTGTGCGCCCCGGGACGCACCTTCCCGCGGCGGCCACGCCTGGAACCGCGCCCCTGGGAGAGGCGGCCCTCGGGCGGGAGCGAGGCCGAACGCGCGCTCGCGGGGCGCGGGAGGCGAAGGAGCGGGCCGGGGCCGAAGGCGAGGGCGCGATGGTGCGGAGCCTGTGGAGCCCGGGGCGCCGGTGCGAGCAGCCGCCGCCACTGCCGCTGCTGCTGCTGCTGCTGCTGCTGGTGAGTGCGGCGGGCGGGCTGCGGGGACACCGACCCGGCCTTCGGGACTCGCTCGGCTGAGCGCCGCGGGGTGGCTGGGACCTGTGGGATCGGTTCTGGTTTTCCTTTCGCCACACTCAGGACCTGGCGTCCTTTGCTGACTTGGTTTGTGGGCGGGGGACACCTTAACTGGGGATCGGGGCTTTGTTTGGAGACTGCGAACGGGGAACCGGAGGCTGCGGGCAGCAACCCTGGCGCCTTCTTCCACGTTCTCTAGAGTTCCCTGCAGGTTTCCAGGGTAAACCAGGAAAATACCTGTGTTCTTGGAGGGCAGAGGAAGAGCTCAAAACAGTTTAAGACCTGTGACTTACACAGCGTTTTATTGTCCTTCGATAAAGCTGGATTATTATCACATTTTTAACTTTAAAGGTCACTGAGTCGGGTTGTAAAAACAATTTCTTAGTACTAAAGGAAATAAGCATGTAATCGTTTCAGGACTTTTTTCATTCGAAACGTTACAGAAAATGGAAGTGTAGAATCCCCACCATCCAGAGGTTACCGAAGAGCTTTTCAACCGCGGGAATCCACGTTCAGACTCGAGCTCTGGATTTCCTACTTTTGATTTCTATATTCAGAAGGATTTTAAACTGTTTGTTAAAGGGACTGCACATAATTAAGGAGTATATCTGGCCGACAGGGTTTGTTAAATGGGATTTGATAAAGTCACACATTCAGTGCTGGTATTCGTGTGGCCTCAACCTCTAGAGATTTCACAAGTACTTCTCCGAGATGAGATAGAAAAAGCATAGTCAGTTCTGTTGTGTAATTAGTAAAATTAAAAATGTAAATAGCACTCTACTTACAATTCCGACTTTCAAAAGATGAGTTTCTTGCCATTCTGGAGTTGTGGAGGAAGAAGAAAATAAGGGGTGTGTGTGTGTGTGTGTGTGTGTTCTCCATATAGATAAGTTTTGGGGATATAAAAAGTAACTATGGGGGGTTTTTGTTCTGTTTGTTTGTCAGAGAATAGTCGATTTTTTTCAGCATTTTGTTCCCAATGTATTTAAAGGTGGAAAGACAGAGTTAGAGTAAAGAATAGAAAGCAACAGGACCTTTATAAGAAAGAATGTAAATCGCAGTCTATTGGGTCCAAAGTACAGTTACGAATGACAGAATTTCTCTGACACACTAAAGTAATGAGATTTATTTCAGGACATTAATTTGACTATGTAAGGGTAGGGAGATTGAAGAAACCCCCTCCACTTTGAGCTGTGGGTCATGACTTGAAGCCACAGAGCAGAGCCCAGGGTAGGAACCTGCCGCCTCTCTGTGTCCTGAACCACAGTGAGAAACTGCAGTTATCAGGATGGTACTTTTCCTGCCAGAGCCAGGCCCACAGCACACCTGATTGACTACGTGACAGGGGCGAAGCCTGCGCTTTGCCCCCTGGCATGAGTGGATCTGGAGACTGACACTAGAGCCAAAATAAGACAGCTGCAAAAACCAACCACGTCTGTGCATGCCAGCAAAAACAGCAGACACACACAGCTTCCGCTTCAGTCATTCTTGCAAACATCATGTAAATACAGGAGGAGCATCTCAAAGCCGAAAATCCTAAGTGCCCCCCAAAGAAATCTTTTTGGACAGCATGTTGGGGCTCAACAAGTCTTGCCTTTCAGAGTTGGGCCTTCTAGTTTAGGAAAGCTCAATCTGAAAGTCTAGGAAAATATTCCAAAATCCAAAAAACTGAAACCGGAAATATTTCTCATGCTAAGCATATCAGAAAAGGGATGGCAGCCTGCACTGAGCTAACCCAGATCTCATGTAGAGCCAGGCCTTGGAAGGAGAAACTCTGGCTGCATATGGGGTGTTTGGTTTTCCCCTGCAGCACAGGGAGGCACATCAGAGGGTCACAGTTGAGTGTCAGCCACACTTTGTCACACAGCCATTCGGGACAACTCTGTTAAACTGGAGAAAACAAGGTATCTGAATAAAACCTGAAAACCTGTCCTCTGCAAGCCTTCTTTATGTGGGATCACTTGACTCTCAGACTGTCCATTGACAGAACTCAGGGAGTTCCCAGAGATCCAGGGGATTGATTGCGTATATATTTCCATTAACCTCTAACTGAAATTTAGTATTTCTCTAAGTTATAAGGATGACAGTGTAGTAGGGTTGGCAAGATCTATGTCTTTATCACAATGGAATTCACAACTGTTTTTACATATTCCAGTTTCAAAATGGCATTTATTCTGAATATCACTAATAGCCTTTTATTTTTATCATATTTAAAAATTTTTTTTAATTCTGTAACTTTTTTTGATATTATCGGGCTTATTCATAATCCAGTGTGTTTTATAAATTTTTAAATGTTATTCTGAAGAGGGGTTCATAGGCTTCACCAGATTGATAAGAAAGGTACTTGGGAGAGTGATTTTTCTGATGATTGCCCCAGTTTTGCCTTGACAATCAAAGGCAATCAAACTCCTTGGCAATCACACTCCATCTTAAGATTCAAAGGCAACCTGTGGTACTACTGTGAGCAAGCATGTTTAATGTCAGGTTGCCAGAACTGCTGTAACAAGGTACAAAATCTGAGGAGTTAAAACAGCGGAAGTTTCCTGTCTCACGGTTCTGGAGGCCAGAAATCCACAATGAAGGTATTGGCAGAGCCTTGTTGCATCTGAGATCTGTGAGTTTCCCTCCTCTCCTCTTCTGTTTGGTGGTTTATCAGCAGCCTTTGACTTTCTTCTCTTAGAGACGTGCCACTCCAGTCCTCCATCTTCACATAGAGCTCTGTCTTTTGTCCCTTCTGTCATCTTCCCTCTGTGCATGTCTGTATCCAAATTTCCCATTTTTATAGGAACTCCAGTATACTGACTATGGGTCCAACCTGATGAGCTTAAATCTACACAGACATTTCTTCCAAATAAGGTCACATTTGAAGGTCCCAGCGGTTAAGACTTCAGCATATCTTCTTTTAGGGGACACTGTTTTACCCATAACAAGTAGATTCCACTATCTCTAAATTACCAGTAACATCAGAGTTGTGCTTAATGTTCTAATATGCAACTGAGCTACACAGATTTAAGAATAAGTAAGTATAAACTTCGTGGTAAATATTGAAGCCAGTAAAAATATTCAATTATTAGGAATTTTAGAAACTTTGCATTTGCTTTTGTTCTAAAAATTAGTAGATAATGAAAAAAATGGCAATTCTTAACAAGTTTGATTATGAATTTAAAGCAAAATACTTTACAAAAAAATGAGGATTTGTTGGTCAAAAGTCTCCCTATCATTAGAAAAAAAAACCTAATGAACTAAATTAAAATCTGTAAGGGTGAGATCCAGAAATATGTACTGATAGAAATTTCCCAGTCAACATAATTAGAAGACAGGTGTACGAGTGAGAGTAATTGGCCTAAATCTTGCAGAATAGCTTATTTGTGAATAAAGCATACACAATGTGAATAACACATTGAGTAGGAATTGGTATTTTTGAAAATTGCCAAATTATAATAAAAATTAGAAACCTTAATTGAAATCATAAAGCAGCTTTAGATCTATTTGTTTTTGCATTTTTTGTTTTCTTTTTATCAATATACTGTAGATTTCAGCGGCTTTGATAGCACTTTTCAAACATCTCATCTATATATGATTTTTCAGTTTATATTTTTCAGTTTAGCTTATCTTAAAGTATCAGAAATATACCTCATAAGACATTGAAATTTTTTATTTCAAATCACAAGTAAAATTTACTGAATTGTATTATATGGAAAGCTTGATGATCAGGGTGAGGAAAGTTGGAACACCAGGATTTATACCATAATGTAATAGTAAGATGAGAAATGCCTACAAGAAAAGAAACTAAGTCCATGTGACCACTATTTAGTGACTCTGCTTGAAGCTAGGCAATGTCCTAGATTATAAAAAAAAACAGCTATAGCCTGCCTTCCAGGCACTTACAGTCTAGTAAGTGATATAACAAGGAAATGGCCAACTTCTCAATGGTTAATGATAAGAAGAATAAGGATACAGAGCCCACAGAAACTGGGCATTCCCGCCAGTTCTCAGCATAATTATAAATTAGTGAGATGACAGGATGAGAACAAGGAAGGATGTTCCAGGTTGAGAGAATATATACCAAGGCCTGGAGACAAGAATGCCTGGTTCTTTGGAAGAACTAGAAAAGTCCATTGTTGTTTTAACATAGAATATTAGGACAGAAGCATATGTAGATGAGTCTTTGACCTACAAGCTAACAGAAATCAACAAAGGCTCTTGCCAGGTGAGTGTTTTTAGGGAGATGTTCAAATTGCTAAGTAAATGAAAAGATCCTTTGTGGTTGAGATGGTCAGGAAAGAGTCAAGAAGGGATAGATAGGATCTGGCTGGTTGAGAACGAAAAACAAGAGGCTGATTTAATAAAAAGGAAGAAGGAGGTGTTCAGGGCTTGGTCTCCTTGGATCAGACAGGCGGAGAAGCCCAGAGACCACACAGCCTGCAGGAGTGGAGGGTTGGTTTGGAAGGAAGAGGAGAGGGAGGCATTTTGGTTGTCAGATGCCTGGTACTTTGTTTTCAAAGCCTGAGGCTGCTAAACCTTCAAGAAGGCTTGAGCACTTAGGAAGCATTTTCCTGTCTAAAATGCCAGTAGCACCCACCACAGTTGTTGAGAAACTGGTAGTCTCTTCTTGCCCCTCTCAGATAGTGCAGATACCAAGCTGCACTCCCCACGCTTTGTCCCCACATCTCCTGTTCAGGCTCATACTGTCTCTGATTTGTGCATTTTCCCTCTAACTATCTCTACAGACATATTCTGCCTCTTCTCCAAGGCCAAGCCCACTACCTCCGCCCCCCAGTAGAGAGTAGTTCCTGTCTTTCCTGGGCTCCCGAGAGCTGTTTTTGTAGGTGTTTATGGGATTATGGTTTCCTCCCTCATATTATAGTACTTCTTCTTATAGTAGTGACCCTCGCATCTGTGATTTCCCTTTCTGCAGTTTCTGTTACCTGTACAAAAACATG